CCCTAACCACCTGGCCATGCCGGGCCTATTCATCCAGTAAGCAAAGCTTTTTACTCTATTGCTAATACAGAAATTTGTTCGGTACAATATGACAGAATAAAACAAAATTATTTAATACAAAGCTATTGAATATTCATACAGATCTTTCCAACAATATTTACTACATACTTTTATAGAAGTGTTATAAGGTATGTTTTATTACATCTCAGAAAATATTCCTCTGAAATTAAATAATTATTTTTATAGATTTACCATAAATTCTCAGGTTATTTTAATATTACAGAAATTTACAAAGCTGTTTGTGGTTTCTTTATCTATTTTATTATGTAGTTGAGTTTGTTGACAATGATTTGTTCAGTACATCCCAGAAAGAATCATAAACACTCAAAGTACATTCCCAAGTTTAATAAACGTGTTTTACAGTAAGTATTATCGTTGGTGTCTGAGTCTCATATCTAAAATAAAAAATTATGTAAATGTACACTGATTACGACTTTAATGAAAATAATAAGTAGAAGGCGACAAGTAGTGATGCGTGTGAAATCTGCTCTTCTGAAGTTACCAGTGGGTAAGCCTTACAAGAATGAAAATACTGTTATTTCTTGTTTCTTATGTCGATTTAAGTATCACGTTAAATGTGTAAATGTAAATTATGAGGATTTTAACGTTTTATGTGACTTGAATAAACAGTGGAAATGTCTTACGTGTAAAAAGAATCGTTGTATATCATTTTGTGATATGGCGAAAGACAACGTTGGAAAAACAGAATTTGCAGGCTGAAGTACAAAGTGAGGGTGGGTTGAGTGATTTGATTAACAATGTACATAATCTAATTGATCACGACAGTAGTTGTCTATCATTATGAAAATAGAAAGTAAAATGGAACTTGTATTGAAAGAAAATATCAGTTTGAAATAAAAGAATGTAGGCAGGAACGTTTGGCTCTTCATGGTCATAATATAGTAGTTTCTCTGGCAGAAAATAAGTGTTACGTATCTGCTTGTTTGTTTGTTTCCGGTAGAAATTCTTCCCGAGGATCTTCAGCAATACGAGCCCTTTCTTGATTAAACCAGTTTATTTTTCCTTGATACAAACTTTTAGTACACAGTAGTTCCACAATCAGTACGTTTCTCGTCACTTTAAACTTCACAACTTTTATAATACACGCTATAAATCACAGCGATTCACAATCTCGATAATTTTGCTCTCCACGAGTGCAAAACACACACTTTAAGGCTCACTAGCTCGAAATTAACATAATCATAAATTACACAGAACTCAAAGTAACTACTGCTCTCTCTTCATTCATATCAGGCTGGCTTTCTCTGCCAGGCTTATATACTAACCAAGAGGGCATCTTAGACTTCCCTGATCATTCGAGAAACTCATCACGCACGCCAGCAGCGTCACGTGACTTCCGCTGTCTTAACATAAAATTAACATGGAAGTCGATTCTATGAAAACGATAGCTCAAGAATTTATGCTGCTGCATTATATCAAAGCATCAGACAATTCATTTAACAGATTACCACATGAACCAGAAAGGTTTAGTAAAGAAACTTTTGGTAATGGTAGTACCAACTTTACGGGCCCATTAAAATCTCTTTCTGATGATGAAGTTCAAGGTGACCCTTAGGGAGAGTTTATTCTGGTTCAACATAGAAAAAAAAAACAACAACCACAGACGTGGACTACACAGGTCTGCGATGGTTTTATTGTCTTCAAATTTTTACATGTTCTACAGTAATTCCTGTACGCTGAATCCGAAAATGATATTCATTTTTCTCCATCATGTACCATGTGTCTTGATCAATTAATAAAAAGAAAAGAAAAGTTATTTCATAAACTTCGTTTTTGGTTATGACAAAAATAAATATGAAGAAACTTACTTGAAGAAAACTAGCACTGATCACAATGTCAATGATTTGCTGGCAGTGTGTATGATACATTATTAGAAATGTCTCCATCTGAAAAACAATGCTCTTTATTATTTAGTAAGTAAAAGTTGCACTTATTCTACTATATCAAAAATGATCAGTTGGTTAAAATATTAGTAAGCAATAATCCAGTACAGAGCCAATTTCTTCAAATATTTCGATGACGAGAAACCCACTTTGAGACTAATAGTGGTTGGAGACGGCTTGAATGGGTAATGAAGAAAACTTTAATATAAGTTTAACATAACAGCAAATGTATAATGTGATGACAAGGTTTTGTCATCATCAGGTACATCATCTATCTTGTCGAAATGACATTTACTGTTATGTTAAACCGATATTCAAGTTTTTCTTCATTACCCATTCAAGCTGGCTCCAACCATTATTCTTCAAATATTGATTTAACATTAAACTAAATATAAGTAATTTAGAGTTTTACAGCTTTATAATACACTATTTTTTATAATTATTTTAATTTATGTCTAATGCTTTGCTGTCAAAATATTCAGTTGTATTGTCTTACTTTATGTTGAAATCTTGTATTTATTGAAGTATATGGCTTTAAGAACTATTACTGTACCCAACTTACTTTGGAAGAGATGGTAAAATTAATATTAACTATAAAAAACACGTGTACAGTCTTGAGAATTTTGTCATAGCCACAACTCAAAAATATTAGTGTTTCAGGTAAAGCTATGACTTCTGACCTTATCTTGTTGGACATCAGCTGGAAGCTTCAGGTCTTGAACTTTCAGTATATCCCGAGGCAATATGCATTGTTTAGATGATGAAGGAATTTGTTTTTGAAACAACTGTAAAAGAACAAAGTATTTAACAACATTACTTTTATATTTTTTTATTTCGCAAAGTAGTCTATTCTCCCTCTGGAAGTATTTTGAACATTCTTTGAAACCTAGATTTCAGAAACATTAAGTTAAGCTAACATACACTGGAACTACAAATAAACAGAAAAATTATATATATATATATATATATTAGAGCACGGTGATTATTGGAATTTGCTAATCAATTAAACTTCAGGCTTATTAATCAGTAATGTTACACTAATTGATCACTCTCATGAGATTTGGATCATTAAATGATCTCAAATAGTAATAATGGGAAACAAATTTTAATTTAGTTGATAATTTTCATGACACTAATTTACTTAGTCATGATTTTAGTTAATCAATTATTTTATGTGGCACTAATGAATGTTCATAGGTAATCGATTATATCGAGTTAGTTGCCTAGTTCTAATGTATAACAGTGTTCACCTAAAAAAATAACAAAATATGTATGTGTTATGAATATTACTGAATAAAAAATTTGCAATATTCTAAATTACACATAATATGAAAATGTATAAAAATGTGGTATTGACGTCAACACTATATGCTGTAGTTGATGGAAATTAAGACTTAAATGATTCAAGCTGTAAAGTAAAATAAACCACGGTTATCTTTTTTTTTGTAACATGTAATGTCTAGATATTTTGCAACAATTTAAACTTTTACTATTACTTAAAAAAAACAGAGGATACTTATTAGTCAATAATATCATGAAAAGGGAAAGAAAATTTGGCATGACAAATATAAGTTTCAAGTTACAACTACAACAGTTATTTGGGTTATTAGAATGTCTTCCTAACAGTATCCTTGTTTGAAGTTATGGAAGATTTGTAAGCTTCTATTTAATAGATGCAGAATGGTTATAACATTTTAATTCGCAACAATGCATGGTTTCTTGCTCTAAATTTGGTCCAGATATCATATTACCTCAGTTGTTTTGAATCTCTTTCCTGAGAACCTGAAAAAAAAGTCATGAAAAAATCATTAATATTAACTCGTGTATAACTATTTTTGTATACATTATAGTTATCACACAAATGAATATAAATAAGCTATTTAATACACCTGAACATATTTTATTAGAATAGATACTTCTCAATGTTAAATGTAACAATTTAATTTTTTACTTTAGTTCTATAATGCCTTTCATTTATTATTTCAGTTTGGGAGGGCATGGGTTAGTCTTGAAACTGATTACCTGAGTTTAAATCCATGTGATACCACAAAATATTCCCCCCCACACTTTAAGCTGAGGGAGCATCATAAAAGTGATAGTCAAATTAAATAGTGTGGTTGGTAAAGTACTGTTGAATAACTGCCTTTCCTCCAGTTAGTGGTTCAGAATAGTGTCACTGCAAATAGCTTTAGTTGCTTTGCCATAAATACAAAACAAAAGTCAGTTTGAGAAGAAAATTTTAGAAGTTGATTAGAAACTTTAGACAGTTGTTAAATTATGGGAAGTACAGACATTTACAGCCTTTTAGGTAAAATGCCAACTTAGAAAAGATTCATTCATTTTTCCTAACTTTATGACAAGTTTCTCAATAATACATAAAATATTAAAACAATTCAGAGTAAAGATCTCCCACTGTTTATTGATTCCTAGGGTATGTGCTAAATCTATAATGATGGAAGGGCGTGTCTATGGGACCACCATAACTCCAAGAGGAAAGAACCTAGAAACCTTAAATTTTGCATCCATACTAAGAGGACCCTGAGGGTGTGCACCTGGGCATTATTACTTATACATGTGCTTGCGTGTGTGCATCTTTTTATGTGTGGCTGTGTATGTGTGACTGCCATAACTCCAAGAGGAAAGAACCTAAAAACCTTAAATTTTGCATCCATACTAAGTGGACCTGAGAGCGTGCACCTGGGTATTATTACTTATCCACATGTGTGCGCGTCTTTTTAATGAGGCAAGCTAGCAAAAAATACATAGAAAAGAAGTGGTTCCTTATAATACAAATAGAAATCACAGACAGGCACGCACGTTCGTGTGAGCATGCACATCTTTTTAATGAGGCAAGCTAGCAAAAAAACATATAGAAAAGAAATGGCTCTTTATATAACAACTTCTAATATATAGAAAAGCAAGTACGTTTTGGTAACAATGCGTTCCAATAATGGCTTTTATGTATAACCTACTATTTTTGTTAGTCTATGTACTTAAACTTTAAGATGAAATGTATAAACTACAAAACTGGAAAAATATTTGATGATTTCTTAATTTAGAGCCTCCATTGATTAAAGAGATTTGTTTTTTTTATTTAAAATGTTGGTGATATTACAGAAAATACTTTAATTCAGAAAATATTTCAATTTAAAATCAAGCGTGACGTGATACACACTGGCTTTTATATAGGTTATATAATGTGACTATAGTGGCATCTGTAATTATATATAATATAGTTATCTAGAATATATTAATCTAATAACCCGAGCGAAGCTGGGTACTTTCGCTAGTGTACACATATGTGCTGTTTAACAAGTTCTATTATCTAAACTCATGAAATTAACATTTTAATTTTGAATTTACGGAACCTTGTTTCAGCATGTTGAGAAATGAGACCATGTTTATTGAAACTAAAGACAGTAAAGTTTTTTGAAAGCTAAACTACTGGTATGTACAATGAAATAAATGTACCAGTTTAGTTAGACTTGGAAGGTGTGCATTACTTAAACTGCTTTTATTAATAGGTAAAAAATTACTTGCTTTCATAAATTTTCCAGTAAATCAGAAAACAAAGCCACTTTATAATGTGAAAAACAATACACTAGATCAAGGTCACAAATCTTACCTTGTCATTCCAGTACCTTTCAAGACATCTTTATAGTAAAATGAGGTAGGTTTAACATCAATTCCATAATAATGGTATCTGTAACAAAACAGTAGCTGTTAATTTTTATAAATCAAATAATGTTATATTTTTATTTGATGTAAAAACATTTCAACGAAACATTTTAACACGTAATGCATACCTCGGGGTGGCAAGCGTTCTTGATATATTAACGATTTCTGCAGAACTTGAACACTGAAATATGACATTTAAATCTAAAATAGAACAGCGAAAAATATTTTCAAGGGTATTCTTATTTATTTTTTAGGTATAAATACTCGAAATTTTATGATCGTTTGAAAACTGCAATTTCGCCAAATTTTCCGGAAAAGTGCACTCTTTTTCCAGGCCATTTTTCTCTTTATTTTCTTGTTCTTTTGCTTTTCCTTATTTCTTTCATGAAAATAAATGACAATTCTTTTACGATCTTGTTATTTTTTTGGAACAAATAATTATGTAGACCTTCGAACAAGTCTGAATTCGTAATGAAACACCTATTTGGGCTTCTCCTTCAGATGCTTGCCTTTCCTTCTCTTACTGTTTGATTTGTCTGACTTTGCTTTATATTTGCTACTCATCAGGGAACTCTTCGATGGGGTTTGCCTCCTTTATCATGTCATATCTTTCCAGGGCCACGGCATAGCATGCCTTTGGTGCAATGTTTTCATTTGCATCAAGAATATCGTTGATGATATTTGAAAGCACATCTGGAAAACGTATTCGAGTTGGCCATTTGCTGCTCTTTTTTTCTTTTGCATTGAAGGCGCTGATTGCCGAACGAATCTCGCTCTCAGATGGTAGATCCATGCAGAGGGATATTTCATCTTTAACTTCTCAGGCATGCACACCAGGACCCTTTTTTATCACTTACATTTCCATCATCATATATTTGCTTCACATCATCTATATAACGATGAATATACTTTTTTTCCATAAGTTTTCCCTAGAACAGGCTTTATTGCCCAACCTTTCTGAAAAGATTCCTAAAGGTTTTTTTTCGGTTTCAAGAATAAGATTACCGCCTAAATTATCATCATCGATACGTTGAATAAATTCAACAGATCCTCCATCCAGTAGAATTCAGTGGGTTCAGGAAGATCCCGGATTTAGCTCCGTTACATTATGAGAGAATCAATGCAAAAAAAAGTTTAGCCAATTATTTTTTTTCCGGCTTGAATAGCCTCGTGGGACTGAGAAAAAAAGTCGTATCCCGGAGGTATGCATTACGTGTTACTCGCAATCTGAGGGTGGCGGGTTCGAATCCCCGTCCACCAAACATGCTCGTCCTTTCAGCCGTGGGGGCGTTATAATGTGACAGTCAATCCCACTATTCGTTAGTAAAAGAGTA